ACTGTCACTGTTAACTTTCCTCTCGCCTGGAGCCTTTAAATGAAGTTATTAATCCAGCAAACACAAGCGGACCGGGCGCTTCGAACCATGTAATGACAATTTCATTTGTTTTTAAAGCTAACTTTGACGTCACCTGACTGGACGTCACCCATCAGGACCGGTCGCGCTTCCTCTTCCTCTTCCTCTCTGCGTCGCGTCCTCCATGTTTGCACCGCGTCGGTTTCCCAACCTCCACGTTCTGCCGGCGCATCTGTTTCCTGTTTAATTGAATCAAGCCTTTCGAGTTTCCCTACACCCCCTGCACTGAGTAAATGTGGTAAGACCACAGAAATAAACATCAGAGGTAGTAGGAAGCAGCTTTTGCCATTCACGGCTTATCACCAAAGACCCATATGTCCACATAATATGCCTTCAATTTGAAGGAAAGGATAACATTGTCTACCAAATATCCCTCGCAGACAATGTTGGAGCAATAGAGACAAATACATCAAACTAAATGTGCTTGCCTTACTGTAAATATAATCTTCTGCTTTGTTTTTTAGGGGGAGTTAAAGCACACTTGCAGGAGTTGAGTTATTTTAGCCGGATTTGGCCGTTTTAGATGCATTTTTTTCTCTTTATGGATAGCACACAGGTGGGTAAAAGGTTGGCGGGGATGATGTTTTGCCAATTTATTTTATCAAATGAACTAAAAATGAACTTCAAATATATCTCACGCCAGAGGCGAAAACATATGCAAAACCCATTACGCAGGCTTCACCCTACCCCATTTCACACTATAATTCTATCAGATATCCTTTTAATGGTCTTCAGAAATGTGAAGGTGATGGAAGGCAGGTGCAAGGAGTTGAGGGCTTCAGACAAGCCAGATAAAGTAACTGGATGAATTATGCCATAATTGTGCCTGCTCGAGTCAATCTTCTCAGAGAGATGGGCAAAAATGCATGGAGATGCACGCGGCAAAACCGTATGACAGAAGTCAGAACTGTCCCTGCCTCTGTAGTTCCTCGAGAAAGATCTCAGACTTTTTTGTTGGATAGTTAAGAGCCATTTTAACTATTCAGGATGCGATGTTACATCCAAACCATCATGAATGATTAACTTTGACCCTTATGTTGTCCTTATATGTCTTTTTTTTGGGGACAACATATATTGTAGTGAAAGTGGTGATGCACCAAACACCTCTATTTCTACTCTTTCAAAATCTTAAAAATACACCATTTTGAATAATCAATGCATCAAAGAGTTCAAGTTCAAGCACTTCAACTCTTGCAAACGAAGCCCACAGGAAGTATAAGTTCATACCTGCTAATAAATCCCTGAATATAATGAAGGTTAACAGATCTGGCTTGCTGTTGAAAATAGAGGGCTTCGGTTTGAGACTCGACTTCAGGTGCTTCAAAAGGTTCATCACAGCGATGCCATAGAAGAACCATTTTTGGTTCCACAAAGAACCATTCAGTCAAAGGTTCTTTAAAGAACCATCTCTTTCTTACCTTTTTATAATCTGAAGAACCTTCTTTCGCCACAAAGAACCTTCTGTGAAACAGAAAGGTTCTTCAGATGTTAAAGGTTCTTTATGGAACCATTTAGCCAAAAAGGTTCTTCTATGGCATCGTGAAGCACCTTTATTTTTAAGAGTGTACTTTAAAAATATACACAAAATGTGTGTTAATTGCAATAGTTTTTGTACCATTTAATAAGGACTTAAACACATCTTTATGATTTGTAATTTTATAATTACTTCTGAAATATGGTTAAAGTGAACTGTTGAATGACAAGCATTTATGAGAAATTAGAATATTCTTTAATGTCATCTCTATCGAAACTTGTATGTTATGTGTTTAAATATATAACTTATTTGTAATGATGAAGTTGCAATTTAGTACGATTAAAATATATTAACGTTAAATGTAATATTGAATAACAATTACACTTAAAGTTAATCAAGTGTACTAGCACAAAAATATTATTAAAACACAATGCAAATGTGTTTTCAAAATAAAAGTTTTAAAGCCTGATACCAGAAGAGAACAGTTTTAAGTTATACGAAGAACACGTTTCTAGTTCTTTAAAAACACTTGTGTTTGTGCTTTAAATAATCCAGAAATAGTTTGATCTGAAGAATATAACAAAAAGGAATTTTTACCCTCTAAAGAACAATATAGCAACTCAAAAACAATCTATAGAGTGACTGATGCGTGTTGACAGGAGCGTATTGAAGAAGCTATAGTTTTAGGAGTTAAGTGGCTGTGATGCACTTTCACCCGTTCTGTATCTTCTGTTTCACAGAGGTCATTCCGTCCTCTGTGTTTTATATAGACTGTCTTTCCCCTGCCATCATTTTACAGCACAGTTATTTACATCGCCCTCTCGGTTGAGCAAGATACGGCATAATTGCATGTTAGTTTTTAATTATAAAAAAGTAAGGCGATGGGTTGTAAGGTAGCATCGCATTGTTCCCGTCTTATCCGTGCTCTGTGATCGTGTGAGCCTGTCTCCTGTGCTAAGTGATGATAAGCCTGCTTTCTATGCTCGCTCATAATTAATCCATCTCTGGCGCGCCCCCGCCTTTATCACGCTCGCTCCCGCGTCTCAATGGAACTCAATTCTCTGTTGATATCTCCCACAAAAAGAGAGGTGCAAATCCTTTAGATTGAAGACATGATTCCCATCATGCTAAATCTCAGCATCTATAGCCTGAAAATGCATCCAATTACAAACAAGACTGGGACTGTTTTGGTGACACACTTTTCTGCCATTTGGTTTTTAAGAAATGTGTCTTCTGGCTATGGAGGAATTCAGAGTGTTTGTGTATATAAAACACTATTCACTCTTAAAAATAAGGGTTCCTTATTGGCATTCCATGAAGAACTTTTAACATCCATGGAACCTTTTCATTGCACAAAATGCTCTTTTATAGTGGAAAAATGTTCCATTTTTTATTGAATGTCATCAACTATGTTCTTACATTTAAATTAATCATTTGATACAATGCACTGTACATAAATGTTTTACATCGGATATTGTAATACCTGCATGTAATTACAACAGCGGTTAGTTACATCTGTCGTCTCTACCCTTACACCTTAACCCACCCTTAAACCTAACCATACCACCAAACCTGTCCCTAACCTTAACCGCATCCCACCTCAATAGCAGCAAAAGTGTTTGAATATAAAAGTACATACACTCTCAGAAAAAAAGGTACAAAAGCTGTCACTAGGACAGTACTCTTTCAAAAGGAACACATTTGTACCTTCTTAAGTGTATACATTTGACCTAAAGTGTATAAGTATCTTAATGCATACTTATTTGTACCTTTTGAAAAGGTACCACCAAAGTGACAGATTTTGTACCTTTTTTTTTTCTGAGAAAGTAGCAGTTAAAGACACGCAATATATATATTAAAAAATGAAGATTCTTTTAAGAACTGTTGGCTGAAAGGTTCTTTGTGGTACCAAAAAAAATGGTTATTCTATGGCACTGCTGTGAAAACTCACTACTGGAGGATTTTGGAGAATGTAGGGCACATGATATTTATGGATAGTGAAAAAAGACAGTGTGCAACTTATACAGAATATCAAATAAATTAACATTTTCCCTCCCCAAAAGTTTTAGTCTTAAAATGACTGAGCATGTGAACAAAACCGATTCAAATAAAATAGGTTTCTTCATTTATGATTATGAATTCAGTGTCATTGCACACAATTTTCTAAGCAGCAGCAGCATGGGTTCTCATCATGTTTTGGATCTGAATGAATACAAAGGTTAAAGCCAAAGCTGCATGTTGCAATTGAAGTGACGCAGTGGTTGGCACATGATTACGGCATGCTTAAAGGTTTAAGTCCGGCTTCTGTCATGTTCCTGTTCCAATTCCCCTTTCTCCCTCTCTTCCTTTTCCTGCTGTTCTTTACTGTCCTGCCTGGTAAAAAGGCAAAGATGCTCTTAAAAGATATATGCCTAATTGCTACGTTACACGCTTTAAAGTAATGCTACTCCGCTAATATGAACTGAAGTCACATTCATTGATATTGCTGATTTTTTTTTACCCTTTCTGAATCAGAATGCATCGAAATCAGGTCCAAGTGAGGTAGCTCACTAGTGATACATTTAGAATGGAATACTTGCACACTGTTAATTGCATGATGTGCAGTAAGCACTGCAAACAGCCTATTTTGGTCAAAGTGCAACATTTCATATAGTAGTATTGCATGTTTAATTCAGCAAGCCATCAGCTCAGAAATAAAAATTTTCATATTTTATGTAAAATAGTTTTATTTCTTTGTAATCTGATAAACAAGGACATGATAAAAGGGATGGTTGCTGTTCATTCTCACACTAGAAAGGTCAAATTGAGTAGATTGCACACTCGTAAAATTAATGTCCAATACATGTAATGTCCAATACAGTTTTTCACCCTATATAGTAAGGGAATTTAACGTTAACCATTTAACAGGTTTTTACTGTAACATTTTTACAGTCTTTTACCATTAAATTCACGGTCATTTTTTACAGTAGGTTATAGGGTTGCACAAATCCCAGTTTTCCTGTCCTGCAACAAATAAGCTTTGCAGGACCCCACAGATGAGTCTATGACAGCAGTCTTTGGCAGTAAATCAAGTGTGGACTCAGAGGACCACACCATGCAAATGCTGTACACTGCAAAAAAAATAAATAAATTATGCATAGTATGGACGTATGCAATTTTGCACACAGCCTCAATATTGAGACAGCTTAAATCCGTTTAACTGAAACTTTTACATTGTGTTGTTCTCTATGTAATATTTCCAGCTGCTATGATAAACAAAACAATAAACACTGGTTGTAATTAAGAGGGCAAGACTGCATTCGTTCACAAGCCAACACCTACTAATCCGGGAAGTTACATATATTTCACCGTAGCTGGACATCCCGAGGAGACAGAGAAAACAGCTAGTGAATACTAGAGTGCAGTGAATGTGTGTGGACAGTGTGGAGTGTGTGAGCGCTGCTGCAGCTCTACGGCGCACCGCTGCGCTCAACCCTCCTGCAACAAAAGCTCAAGACGCGCTCATCTGCGCTGTCAGTGTGCGCCCGGATCACAGCACAACTTAACCCTCTACACGACCAGACCAGCAACCCCTGACTGGAATCAGACTGACACCCAAACACGCCCGAGTCTTACAGACAGCGCGTTTATCTGGGTTTGGATGAATCGCGGTATCATTTTTTAATCTCGAGTCCAGCGCGCGGAGCAGGAATGTCCCGGAGGAAGCAGAGCAACCCCAAGCAATTCAAACGTGAGTTTGCCAACGCGGATTTTACTCATGCATTGTTTCAGGTGACAGGACAGGTTGTTTTATACTAGTTTCATAGTTTTTAAAGGTTCAGCTGAAGTTGATGTTTCATTTAAAGATTTTATATCGATTGTGGATCAGATGTGGATCAGAAAATTCAAAGGGCTCGTTTATCTTTTATAGTTTGATGCGTTTATCAGAATTGTGATTAATTGTTATTTTTCTTTTCTTTTATCTATAAAATAGAAATGACAGAATTGAGATCTTTGGAAAGTTGGAAACTCTTGATTTGCTTGAATGGCTGCATGCAATTTGTGAAGTAGAAGCATGTGCATTATGGTTTTTTAATCCAGTGCTTTGAATAAACTAAGAAATATAGACTTTTTAAAGAACTAATTAACTACAATTACTTAATTTTTTTTTTAATCCAGAACTTTCCAAATTAATGCTAGAAATGTAAAATGTCTAATGACATAAAAATGACATTTAACCTGTAAAAATAGTAAAACTAGGCTACTACACTTTTTTTTTTTTTTTTTTAATAATGCAAACAAGTATCTGTTCATGCGTCTCAGAACTACAGAGAAGTGCTTTGGACCACACTGTGTGAAATTTCAAGTTTGATTGAAATGTAGCACAAGGACAGCTCTCCAAAACACCTTATTATTTATTTTCAGTCTTGGCATATTGCCCCGGAGTTTCTGCAAGTGATGAAACGGTTTGCTTAGCAGTCCGGGCATATCAGCTCTCATCATGTCTGTTTTCTGCTTTTCAAGGTCTGCATTATACAGAAGGCAGTTGTAGTGATATCTCAATCTGCAGACATGTCCCACATATTTCTGGAGTGATTTGAAACACTAGCACACAGTGGAGACTTCTTGAAATGAAAGTAGGCTAGAGCACCTGTAAAGAGCGCAGCTTTACCAGACAGGTAAAGGTAAAGACACTCCTCTCTCTTTTTTTTATGGATATGTTTTGTTCCCAATTGAACAGAGTTTGCCCTGTTATCTGAACCCTGGCGATTCACCCTGGATTTTCATATTTTGCCTATTCCATTCTCTGGTGTGCCCTCTGCGAGGCAGATAAAGCGAGAGCACTGAAAGAGCTCCATTAATTTGCCCCGATGACTGTGGCGATAAGGGCAGATAATGGGCTTGATAAGCTGGGGAAGATATACCATCAGAGACCCCATTATTACCATTAGAATTCCAGGCCGGCAGTCTGTTCCAGCCTGATAATCCCTCCCCCATCCTCCACTTCGCATGATAAGACAAGGAATAGTCAGTCCGCACTCTCTTTATTAGCCCGCCTGGATATTCCGATAATATGGTGATAAATTATGTATTTTCTCTTCTCCCACTATTTTAGCCCCATTGAAGGACCTGTCTCTCTCCTTATGGAGAGATAAAAGGGCATTTTGGGTCATCTTTTTTTTCCCTTCCCATGCGTCCCTCCCCCCTCGGCTGGGGTTTAGGGGTTTATTGTAATAAGAGTTTGATGGTAAGGGAGATTGGATGGCCAAGGTGTCTTGGTGGGAGAGTAGATGTCAGTACTATCAGCTCAGCATTTCCAGCACAGGCTGCTACCAGCTGTTCATCTCAACCTCTTATCACCAATCGCAGTGTAAATTTGGCCAAATTGTTGGTCGGTGCAAGGCGGGATTGCCCAGTAAATGACAGCAAGAATGGTCCGAGTTGCTGTAGTTGTCTACCAGCTGTTTTTGTCATAAACTGTAACGTAACTCATTGTTATGTTGAGGACATGTTTATTGTCTATGGATTTTTAAAACAGCAAATAATTGCTGTTGGTCATCACACTGTTGAGAAAAAGGTACAAAAGCTGTCACTGGGGCAGTAACCTTTCAAAAGGTTTAGGAATGTACCATTTAGGTACTCATAAGCACACTTTAGATACTAATATGGACATTTATTGTACTAATTTGCAGCCTTTAGACATAAATAAGGTGCAAAGGTGTAGCTTTTGAAAAGGTACTGCCCCGGTGACAGCTTTTGTAACTTTTCTTCTGAGGAAAAAAGGTACTAAAAGAGGCTGTGGATGTACTGAGGACTTTTTTTTAACAAATGACTTATTCACAGAATTTGAAATTATGGTGTGTGTGTGTGAATTTATGTATACGCAATGTTACCCATAATATATGCATATATTACACAACTCTCTCGAATACTTGATTTTGCGTTCTATCTTTGAATGTCTTTGTCTAATGACTGCCAAACTGTAGATTTAATTAACAAAGTGTCTTGTCTTTAATGTCACTCTGCATCTCTGAAATCTGTCAAATAAAAAAAAAAAAGTAGAATATATATATATCATATTAAATATATATAATATACAGTCTGGCAATCATCACTGCACAATAAAGCCCTATAAAAACTTTTAAAATATTATTGTATTGTAAAAAAAAATGCTTTTAAAATTTGTTTTTGAGCATGTTTTTAAGTTTATTTTACACACACACACACACACACACACACACCTGTGGTTCTTCTGTGAACTAGAGGAGAACTGACTTCATGCATCCACTATAAATCACTATAAACGACTATAAATAAGTCACTGCAAAAATGAAGAAGATTGAATTTAGTTCACTCTAGCATCATTTGTGTGCAGATATTGATAGTTTGATATCCATTTAAATGATATTGGCATGTTTTTAGTGCAGCTTAAGTGTTCAAATCTGTTTATGACCACTGTATATGCTTCTACATGTTATGTTTCTGTTTCAATATGGTGTAACTGCTAATGAAGTTTTGTTGCTAGTTTCAGCTCTTGCAGCAGTGAACTGTCAACGTATTTCTCTTGCATTCATTGTTCATAATACTTCAATTATTTATTTGGAGGCTGTTATTCGTGGTTGTCGGCGCTAACGTTGTGCTGTCAAAATATGATAATTTATTTCATTATTATACCATATCAAGGATGTCAGATTTGTTGCCTCTCCTTTATTCTTTTTTTAATCCATTTTGATTAACTTCATCTGCCAACTGTCAGCGTGAGGCATTCCTCAGTCGCGAGCTATCTCTCACAGATCAGTGCAATATGAAGAAAGGGCTGATTGCGTGCCAACTTTCTCCCCAGCATCTGTTCAGCACTAATGAGCTATGAAGTGCTGTGGCTCACTAGGCTGCAGGAGGAGGAGGGGAACGCCACGCGCCTGTCTCACCCTTCTCCAGGAACGTTGGGAGACGTCCCGACTGTTTAGGAATGCAGCCACTGTTTGTTACACACAACAGTTCCACAACTCGGTCATTATAATGCCTGTATTCTAGTCTAAAGCAACAAGCCACAAGAGGCTGTGCATTGCAGTAAAGGTAAGAGGTAACTGTGGTAAAATTATTGTAATGCACAGTCTTGACTGGTTTATCGCTGTAAAAAATGGTGCAAATGCAGTATGATAAAACACCAATAAATTATCAATAAATAGATACATTTACTAAAACCAAACATAAAATAATATTAAAAAAGCTTATGGAAACCTAGTGGATGACAACTTGTAATTTGAAAGGTACACAAGCACACACAAATGTCTGTAGGCTGCCTCTGGGACCAGTAGCTCTGGTCGAAAGAAGAGGCCGACAGAATCAATGGCAAAAACAAGATAAGCGAGATGTTTATTTGACGAGCCTTAATCATTGATGCCCCTGCTGTGCTAGATGTCCTATCAGTGAGGTCCAGCGGCTCTAGGGGAACACGCCGCTTTTATTCTCTTCACCTTCATTGAGCCTTTCGAGTTCAATGATGTTAAATCAATAACTGTTGTCAGATGCACAAACTGGTGCTTGGTTTTCAATGGGAACAAAAAGACGGCTCAATTAGAGTGTTTGTTCTGAAGATTTGTTAAAGAGCTTGTCCTTCCCGTTAGAAGGCATGTCATTGCACTTGGCGGCCATCTTGGTAGTGCCCTTGGGTGTCTGTTTTCTATGTCGTTAATAGGCAAGCACATCTTTCCACTTCAATGGAAAAAGACAGAAGTAGTCCAAACTGTCGATCAAGATTACATTTGAACAATATCAAATCGGCAATGGAATCAGACAACAAGGGTATCATATAGTAAATAAAACATTAAAACAACGATTTAATTTCTTTAGCTTATTTAGCTTTGTAATACTTCTGTTCTGCGTAAAGTGTTGCTACACTCTAATTCATTGTCGTAAAAGTAGTGGTCGACTGATCTCCCGGGCAAATATATTGGCTGATATTTGAGATTTTTAAATGATCGGCATCAGCAAAAAAGTGTTTCGCCAATCTGTTTCGCCAATGTGTTGGAAGCGGACTTTTATTTTCACAGTGTACAGGATTTTCATTTTGACATTACCGAGATCTCCCGAGGTGATAAATCTGTTGATATTTGGGATTTTTCTTAAATTATTGACTTAGGCAAAAAAATTTGGACGATGTGTTCGAAGCGGATTTTTATTTTGACAGTGCATGTGACTTTTATTTTCACATCAACGAGACTGATCTCCTGGGCCGTATGTCTGCTGATATATATATAT